CCTGAGTTTGGGGTCAAAACCAGCTATTTAGGTGCTCGGATGTGGCTTCTCTGAGGGCTGATACTGGGGTTGTGCTGCCCCGAGTTTGGGGTCAAAACCAGCTATTTAGGTGCTCGGATGTGGCTTCTCTGAGGGCCGATACTGGGGTTGTGCTGCCCTGAGTTTGGGGTGAAAAGAAGCTATTTAGGTGCTCGGATGTGGCTTCTCTGAGGGGTGATACTGGGGTTGGTCTGCCCCGAGTTTGGGGTCAAAACCAGCTATTTAGGTGCTCGGATGTGGCTTCTCTGAGGGGTGATACTGGGGTTGGTCTGCCCCGAGTTTGGGGTCAAAACCAGCTATTTAGGTGCTCGGATGTGGCTTCTCTGAGGGGTGATACTGGGGTTGGTCTGCCCCGAGTTTGGGGTCAAAACCAGCTATTTAGGTGCTCGGATGTGGCTTCTCTGAGGGGTGATACTGGGGTTGGTCTGCCCCGAGTTTGGGGTCAAAACCAGCTATTTAGGTGCTCGGATGTGGCTTCTCTGAGGGCCGATACTGGGGTTGTGCTGCCCTGAGTTTGGGGTGAAAAGAAGCTATTTAGGTGCTCGGATGTGGCTTCTCTGAGGGGTGATACTGGGGTTGGTCTGCCCCGAGTTTGGGGTCAAAACCAGCTATTTAGGTGCTCGGATGTGGCTTCTCTGAGGGCTGGTACTGGGGTTGTGCTGCCCCGAGTTTGGGGTCAAAACCAGCTATTTAGGTGCTCGGATGTGGCTTCTCTGAGGGCTGGTACTGGGGTTGTGCTGCCCCGAGTTTGGGGTCAAAACCAGCTATTTAGGTGCTCGGATGTGGCTTCTCTGAGGGGTGATACTGGGGTTGGTCTGCCCCGAGTTTGGGGTCAAAACCAGCTATTTAGGTGCTCGGATGTGGCTTCTCTGAGGGGTGATACTGGGGTTGGTCTGCCCCGAGTTTGGGGTCAAAACCAGCTATTTAGGTGCTCGGATGTGGCTTCTCTGAGGGCCGATACTGGGGTTGTGCTGCCCTGAGTTTGGGGTGAAAAGAAGCTATTTAGGTGCTCGGATGTGGCTTCTCTGAGGGGTGATACTGGGGTTGGTCTGCCCCGAGTTTGGGGTCAAAACCAGCTATTTAGGTGCTCGGATGTGGCTTCTCTGAGGGCTGATACTGGGGTTGTGCTGCCCTGAGTTTGGGGTGAAAAGAAGCTATTTAGGTGCTCGGATGTGGCTTCTCTGAGGGGTGATACTGGGGTTGGTCTGCCCCGAGTTTGGGGTCAAAACCAGCTATTTAGGTGCTCGGATGTGGCTTCTCTGAGGGCTGGTACTGGGGTTGTGCTGCCCCGAGTTTGGGGTCAAAACCAGCTATTTAGGTGCTCGGATGTGGCTTCTCTGAGGGGTGATACTGGGGTTGGTCTGCCCCGAGTTTGGGGTCAAAACCAGCTATTTAGGTGCTCGGATGTGGCTTCTCTGAGGGCTGGTACTGGGGTTGTGCTGCCCCGAGTTTGGGGTCAAAACCAGCTATTTAGGTGCTCGGATGTGGCTTCTCTGAGGGGTGATACTGGGGTTGGTCTGCCCCGAGTTTGGGGTCAAAACCAGCTATTTAGGTGCTCGGATGTGGCTTCTCTGAGGGGTGATACTGGGGTTGGTCTGCCCCGAGTTTGGGGTCAAAACCAGCTATTTAGGTGCTCGGATGTGGCTTCTCTGAGGGGTGATACTGGGGTTGGTCTGCCCCGAGTTTGGGGTCAAAACCAGCTATTTAGGTGCTCGGATGTGGCTTCTCTGAGGGGTGATACTGGGGTTGGTCTGCCCCGAGTTTGGGGTCAAAACCAGCTATTTAGGTGCTCGGATGTGGCTTCTCTGAGGGGTGATACTGGGGTTGGTCTGCCCCGAGTTTGGGGTCAAAACCAGCTATTTAGGTGCTCGGATGTGGCTTCTCTGAGGGGTGATACTGGGGTTGGTCTGCCCCGAGTTTGGGGTCAAAACCAGCTATTTAGGTGCTCGGATGTGGCTTCTCTGAGGGCCGATACTGGGGTTGTGCTGCCCTGAGTTTGGGGTGAAAAGAAGCTATTTAGGTGCTCGGATGTGGCTTCTCTGAGGGGTGATACTGGGGTTGGTCTGCCCCGAGTTTGGGGTCAAAACCAGCTATTTAGGTGCTCGGATGTGGCTTCTCTGAGGGGTGATACTGGGGTTGGTCTGCCCCGAGTTTGGGGTCAAAACCAGCTATTTAGGTGCTCGGATGTGGCTTCTCTGAGGGGTGATACTGGGGTTGGTCTGCCCCGAGTTTGGGGTCAAAACCAGCTATTTAGGTGCTCGGATGTGGCTTCTCTGAGGGCCGATACTGGGGTTGTGCTGCCCTGAGTTTGGGGTGAAAAGAAGCTATTTAGGTGCTCGGATGTGGCTTCTCTGAGGGGTGATACTGGGGTTGGTCTGCCCCGAGTTTGGGGTCAAAACCAGCTATTTAGGTGCTCGGATGTGGCTTCTCTGAGGGCTGATACTGGGGTTGTGCTGCCCTGAGTTTGGGGTGAAAAGAAGCTATTTAGGTGCTCGGATGTGGCTTCTCTGAGGGCCGATACTGGGGTTGTGCTGCCCTGAGTTTGGGGTGAAAAGAAGCTATTTAGGTGCTCGGATGTGGCTTCTCTGAGGGCTGATACTGGGGTTGTGCTGCCCTGAGTTTGGGGTGAAAAGAAGCTATTTAGGTGCTCGGATGTGGCTTCTCTGAGGGCTGATACTGGGGTTGTGCTGCCCCGAGTTTGGGGTCAAAACCAGCTATTTAGGTGCTCGGATGTGGCTTCTCTGAGGGCTGATACTGGGGTTGTGCTGCCCTGGTTTTTGGGGTAAAATCGGCCCCATGAGGGGCTTTTGCCACCTGCTGGCCCCGGCTTGACGTGACAATTAATCCCTTTGCAGATTAATTTTGCAGCTAAATCGCCCGAATTGGGGCAAAGGCCGGAGCTCGAGCGCCAGGAGCCAGGCGTCCGGGTAATATATAGGGGAAATTAATCCTCGTTAGCCTCCTT